TTTTGACGGGATAAGAGTGATTCCTGTGTAATCTCGGAGAGTTTCGGCAGTGAACGGAAGAAATGAAAAGGGACCCGATTACGAATTGTCACATGATGTGACGGCTTGACGCGGCAGTGGCATTAGGTGGAACTTAGAGGTGCTTCATTTGGGGGCAAATCAATGACCACAAATTATCATAGTGAAATGGCACTACCCCCAGACTACACCTTTTTCCCTCAATTACATCAGGAAAACTGTGTGGTTGGCGGTTCCAGTTCTGGAACATTCCATACATAAGAGCGGGCTTTTCAGGCATGGGATAAACTATTACACTTAGGGGTACACCTTTTGAAACTTGCTTAGATTGTTTATTTATTAATTTATGTATAGATTTTGGGGGGCTGGCTGTTTCACTTACATTTCTTTCTATCTTCAAGGGGTTTCAATCCTACCAACAGTTTGTTCCCATTTTTTCTGGCAAGCAGGGGGCGCTCCCTAACCTCCCCCGGCTAGTCCTGGAAATTGGAACGGTCCAAGAGTAAAACTCGCGAGATGTCCAAACGAGACTTGGTCCTCGCAAGTCCTTTTGTCTGGAGCTGTCTACCTGTGACCAAGGACTGGAATTTGGCTTGTTCTCTGTCCCCTTTGGTTGGCAGGCTGGCCTTGTGGCAGGGGGGGTGGGGATGTTAATAAGGTATCATTTCTGCAGCCTGTAAATGGGTCAGAAAATGCATACATATTCATGCACATACACATGTAAGACACAGAGGGATTTTTTTGTTTTGTTTTTTGTTTTCTTTTTCTTTTGTTTTTGTTTGTTTTTCGAGACAGGGTTTCTCTGTAGCTTTGGAGGCTGCCCTGGAACTTGCTCTTGCAGACCAGGCTGGTCTCGGACTCACAGAGATCTGCCTGCCTCTGCCTCCCGAGTGTTGGGATTAAAGGCGTGCACCACCACTGCAATGCTCCACGGAATCACTTTTAAATAAAAATGGCTAGTAGGTCGCAGGGGAAGGGAGAGCTAAGGATTTGATGGGAGGCTTAACGGATGAGGTTGTGCTAACAAAGACGTACAACAGATTTTTTTTGTCCTTACAGGGTCAGCAAAGCCATCATGAATCCTGAGGATCCCACTAGTGGGTTCCGGCATGGCAAGGTGTTAATGTTCATCAATGAGCAAATGTCCAAGGACACAAAAGGCCCCGCGTTCTACCTTGAGAACTTGTCCCTGTCCTGGGAGGAGGTGGAAGAAAAGCTCAGAATCCTCCTGGAGAATGGGGAGATGCTGGGGCAGGCTCAGGAAGCCTGTGCCTGGGCCAGCCTGGCCTTGGGTGTTCGCTTTGCTTGGAGGCAAGTCCACTTGCAGGGGCGCCGAGTGCAATGGCTGCACGACTTCGCCTGCCTGCACAGGTCAGCGGCACATGCCTTGGCGTCAGACCTGAAGAAACTCACAGACCAGCAAGAGATGGACAGCAAGGAGGCGGCCTTCCAGCTTCAGCTGGCCCACACCAAACTGGCAGAGGTGCAGAGAGACAGGGACCAAATGAGGCTGAAGCTACTACATGCAGTAAGATTACCTCCCAACCCAGTCTTACCCCCACACCCTATGCCCATACCCCCCTCCCAGCATCATGTCTCAACTCTGCCCACTTCTCTCCAGGAGCTGAGGGCCTTTCCAGTTGCAGACATGCCAGCCCTGCCTAGAGCCTCTGCCACCCCTGGAGGGGCAAAGACAGAGACAAAAGCTGCAGGAGCGGGACAAGAGGTGACATCTAGTGATAGAGCAGTA